TTCAAACAGTTACGGTATCGGTTGTGCCCCCCTCCCCCGATTGTCGTCAGAATGCATCTCTCTTACTATATTACCACTATCTGCGCTGAATGAAACCTACAATTGTGTAAATTTCTTCTCAGGAATCTGAACAAAGGAACCGTCCGTTAGAAAGGTTAAGTATCGACTTTTAAAAGTTACTTCGGAGAGAATTCGGGAACTAATACTTGTTGACGATTACGGATGAATATTTCTGTTTTCTTTTCGTTTAAGCCTGCCTCGACCAATCAACCGTTACAATCATTCCGTACTCTAATCATTGATTCTTAATTTTTGGAACGCCATATGACATCCATTCAAATAGAGGCTTCTGTTCACTTCTGAGGAGCTGAAAAATTACCTCACATCAGCAGCAGAAATAATGGCCTAAGATCATCGTTTAAACGGGCCAATTGTGAGATTGGATGGAAAGCTCCGTAGAGGACCATCGATCTGACGACCCAATCAAAATGCCCTCCTTGTACTTGGTGGAAGACTGTTTTCTGATGTTCTTCAGTCCATGGGATCATTTCTGTGTACAACAAAGACGGCACCGCCCTAACGGTTGCTTCGCTGTTATCATAAACACGCATCANACTACTAGGTTGAGAAGACCGATTGCATCGTCCGGTCGAACAAACAAAAAATGACCCCTTTGTTGATGACGTTGAACAGATCAAAATGAAACTGCAAGCACGTCTATATTCACCTCCTCAATGGGCGTGAAGATAGCGTATCCATACCGTCGGGCATCCCAAGATCACCCACGCATGTGTACTCATAAGCAAACGAATCTTCGATTTCATCAATACAGAAAGAAGGCAGATGTCGTGAGATGTTGACATTTCATTTAATCTCCTCAATCGTTGACTTAAAACAAAAAAAAGCATATATATATATATAGCGCATGGGGTTAATCAATTATGGTGAACGAACGTATACAAGCATACAAAGATTACGAAATTTAGAAGTAGGTCAACTCCACGGCAAGTGGATTGACTGTATCAAAAATGTTTGTGCGCCTAAGGTCGGGTGATGTAATCGAATAAGCAATGCCTCACTTAAAATACGTAATGGTGGTTGAAAGGCGAAGTGGGGTCAACTGTGTCTCGTTGTCGTGAGATGCTTTGCAACAGATGACCCTGAATTTCCTGTGATCATCAATTGGCCATCAATTATTGATTGCGTGATTGACCTCACCGAGCGCTTTGAGATATGTTCGGTCATCCGTTGCGAGAGCTGACCGTTTGTTCTGCCTATGTATACGTCACCGCAACTGCAGGTGACCTGGTATAGTGTGTGAGACGGAGCCGGCTTGCCAGTCATGGTTACGTTTGTCCAAATCAATTCCACGAGTGGAGATAATGAACCTGAGTTGAGCAGCTGGGAATGTACGGTTTAGAGCTGACTTCAACCTATGGCACGCATCATTGTAAGTATGGTCACCTTTGAATGCAATCGTTATGTAAATGGCCCTTTTACTGACACTTTGGGTTGGGTTACCTTTTTGGGAATGATCTGCTGTCTGGGTAACTATTGCCTAGCGATGTTCACCTTTAGTGTATCTGGAGAACAAATGTTTCTCGCCGGATGAAATACGGTTCTCACCAGCCCATATTTGTAAGCCATGGGGGGAAGCTGGGAATGAGTAGGTATTGACCGTTTCTTGTAGCTTTTTGGTAAACTGAGGGTTGTAGTGTCCAATTTATTCAGCACGTAACTTCTGTCTAGAAAAGCTATTGTTGTTGGTTTTTATTTCATGAGATACAGAGAGGTGTCGATTGACTGAGTTAAACTCCTGAGATGAGCGAGGCGTGATGCCCACAACAAGCACGCAAAGATGGGCTGTGCCATATCGTGTGAATGGAAAGTGAAAAACGGTCTGATCAGCTGCCCGGTGGCCGAGTGGGTAGCATGTTTGCGTTCTAACAATGAGATCCCGGGTTTGATCCCCAATTGAGTCGATAGATTCACACTGCGGATGAGACCCAACCGAGTCGAAACAGCTGGCTTTTCATTTCACGCTTAATTTGCTATTTGTACGACGAATTTTCCCTTTGAAATTTAATCAAATCTTCCATTACTCTCACGTTGTAAAAATATTTTAAAATATTCATCATCCGTAAAAATAAAAATATCGTCCACGTAACGTTTGTACAGGGTGAACTTGGAAACATTATCACTTAGTTTTTCTCGATAATTCCTAAAAAACATCTGTCAAAATGGGACCCAATGGACAGCCACGCCACCAATCTGTTTGTATGTGGTCCTCAAGTGTTATATATGTACCTGTTTGTTTTTATATCAGCGATTGAGAGGATTAAACGAAATGGTAACATCTTCCGATGTTTGTCTTCTCTCGGTATTGATGAAATGGATAAAGGCGACTCAATGCTGCTTCGATTCCCGTGGATGATTCCCCATCCCGATTAGAACAGTTTCTGTGAGTCAGACCTCACAAAAATCTCCCATTGAAAATTCAGATGAACCCAATACTGACCCCGATGAACATCCGTTATTCGGGACAGAAGAATGTATTTGAACTCCTATAACTTGAGAAATCATGATGCTTGGAGCATTTCTGATATTAACAAAATAGTGCCGATAAAAGTAATTCGAGCGGGGAGGGTATACGTTAGATCAAACCCTTGTTTATATCAACTTTATGTTATTATACTCGTTCTCTGAAGCTTCTGACTTCATGTGCTCAGTTCCGGTTCACCAATTTCTATATTGAATAATGCTTATATCATGAATCATTGTCTCCACCCAATAGAAATGGTTTTGAAATCGCATATTGTTGCAGTAATTTACTAGCTGGGATTTGATACCGGTGACAGTTTGGACCACGAGATTGTTGCAGAGAAGCGCGAGGTTGATAAGATTAACTTGAAATGTTCAGAATCGAGATCACTAAAATGCCAACCATGAGGATTGGGATCAGAAGTGAGATAAACATCTACTGTGGTGAGTGAACGATAAAAACGCGAGTCTCGTCTATCGTGATCTAGCCTGACTACTGCCGGATTTTCCTGAACCACCAGTTCCAGCCTCACAAAACGATCGAAACAGCGTATTTGGGGAATCCGTGAAACTACGACAGCGATCAATGCATTGGCCAATTTTCGTCCCCCTCACCCTCCATGATTGTTTACCGATTGTGGTCACCAGAGCGTCGCAAAACTTCACAAACCGCCGGTTGTTGAATGCAATGACAGTTTCGGTGCGACTGCTTTGTTTTCGTCAGAAGGAGAACAGATTGCAAACTGTTCGACAGACTGGTGGTTTATTGTCTCAGATGCAATTATGCTAACCTTGACGGAGTCCAATGCGCCGGATGTCTTTTGTGAACGAAACTGGGATTATGCAACGCAATGGAAAATCAAGGGTCATTGAAGGCCCTAAACTGTCAGAGGTTGTATGCTCGAAGCGAATAATCGAAAGTTTCCCATGCACATCAAGAAGCGAGAATGAGTAACTATTAAGATGGCATTGGAGATCTAAAACTGCCTCTATTGTTTGAATATTCCCATGATAGCATTGAGAAAACGAGTCGGTGAGCGAACAATTGTTTTCAGATAGTCCTAGTCATATATCATATAGTGAAAAAAACGCTTACAGAATGACAGCCACTGGCTCAATTTAAGGTCATTAATCGGAGGTTGAGAGTAGAGGATGTGTGTGTGTGTAAGAATGTTTAGTGTGTTAGTTGGTGTAACCTTTCCCCACTTGGGTCAAGTGACACGTCCTGTTCTGTCTTGGTTTTCACACCCGGTCAAGGCCATTGGAGCGCCTGCACCAATCATTTTCGAGTACACAGGTTGGGTTCTAGTAAGCGAATGGCGATCGCCTCGGCCATAGCTAGTGTTCAAACTCGGTCCGCCCTCGATCGATTGATTGGGATACGATAAACGATATCGAAAGCTTTCTCCAGTTCGATCTTGTGCCTGGTGTCGACGAGATGACCCACGATCGCGCTTGATCACCGGTTTTTCCCTGAACTATCACGGGTGGCGCTGCTTAACACGTTGAGAGAAACGCCTTACCGTACGACCTATGTCGCATGCGCCACAGACGCACTTGAAAGAGTAAATATCACAGATGAGGTCAGTTTCGGCAGTTTGTCTTTCACTTGCATTTGCATCACCGGTAGAAAATACTGGTCTGCGGAGAAAGTGGAATTTACGGCCGTTCTCAATGACTGCACTGCTTTCTGTGAATGAGTCCGCCGGATAGTTCTTTCTTAGGGACACAAGTGGTGTTTTCCTTCTCCGGAGTTAGTCGAATATTCTTAGTGATGAACTTTTCCGGATAACCATTGTCTTGCAGCGTTTGGCGGATGAAGCGTAGGCCACTTTATACCAGGTTTCCTAGAATGTCCCGGGAAGCCAACGTATCCTCAAGCGAAATCAAACTTAAGAGAAAGTTGAACTACTTGGTCGCTGAAGCCAGAGTGGGACTCAGTGGAGCAGAATACTCCAACCCACAAGATGGGGTGGTGGGGTGGCGCTTCGAGTCCTTAAACCACTGAAGTCGACCGGTTCCTCTGTCCTTCAGACGGCAGTCAACACACCTCACCACCCAATCAAACGAGCGATGATATAATCAGTAGTTCTAGGGATAATGCGTTACCTTTCTAATGACTGGTTCAAGCACATGAGCTACCAGCGTTTACGTTTTGTGCATTATGTAATAAATACTTACAAAAACAATTATTTGACCTACTTCCGCAGACTAAAATAATTACTAGAAACAAGTATGACTACCCTTCAGATTCCATGAGCAGACCTACCGCGATTGGGGAACAATTCCTTCATCAGTTTGAACATTTCCCAAAAGCCTAAACGTAATACGGCCGCCTTTGTATTGTCTCCCAGACGCAAACCATCAGCCACACCGGCCGCAATCGCGACGACATTTTTTAGTGCACCACACAACTCCACGCCAACCGCATCGGTGGAAATTGTGAGACCAAAGTAGGGCGCCTGTGTAGAATAACAAAAAGAGATAAACAAATGAGGATAAAAGAGTATGCTCTGGTAACAATCGGTCAGTTTTAAAAAGTTTAGTTAGTATAACAGTATTAATGGAAGAGAGTATAGCGGGATACTGCTGGAGTAATCACGAATTCATTTCACAACATTGCGGATAGACGTATGGAAAATGAGCTGGATCTTTGTGATGAACAACTAACGGAACCCACACCGTGGTAGTGGTTGACCGACCGACCACACGGGAGAAACTTTGCACCGACGTCGCAGAAAACAAAATTCAGGAGGGTGACGGCAAACAAAGACAACAACAAAGTTAGACGAGCATGCGGGCAATTCGGCTCTCCACGGGAAACAAACTTTATACGTTTTGTTTGCTCCCTTGACGTGGAAGAGATAAAAAAAAATTTGAAACTTGTATGCATTTCTAGATAGGATTAATAGTTCAGCAAAATATTGTTCAAATAGGCCGGTGACACCAACCACCAATGGGCGATAAAATGAAATCGCATTCAGATGAAAATGTGAACGCCAAATTAACTGAGAGATCGAGAACTTCAGCATTTACCCAGGCTGCGCTTGCATGACCGCGGGTCCCACTCCTGAAAGTTGAATGTCGATTTTTATACTTGATAAACAAAAATGAAGTAAAACCAATTTTATCGAAGGTGTGCGGGTGTGTTCGTGAGGTAATTATTAACCACAGGAGAGAGAGGGGGGAGAAGCACGAATTGTTATTGACAAAGTTTTCTCAATCTACCATAATAATATTCATGTTTGCCATGACTGTAGACCAGGTGGAGCGAACGTGTTTAACGGCTAGTGGTTGCAAACCGGAGAGTGAAAAACAAGCTAACGGAACAGGCAGTCGGTGGCAGTGACGCTAATTTATCCATTCTGTTTCGACAACGGAAACATCACATCGGTCATTTTGTGCAGTGATCACCGAAGCCTCGGGCAGTAATTGTGAGAACAGTCGACAACTGATTTGGCACAAAGATATTACTCACAAGTGTTTGAAGACAGTCCAACATTATGACAATCTTCTTCACTTCATTAGAATTTAGACCGGCCGTTTTGATTACGAAACCTCCATACAGCTTTTATGCATATTGGTAATCAGTGTTTTCACGAACCGCGGTGATAATACTAGTACAACTCGCGTTCGACATAGTCATTTGCTCAGCAAGAGCGCTATAGGTGTTGGTATTTCCGTATCCTTGTCGTGAAGCGCTAGAAAATAAAACAGAAGCAGCGAAGGCTTTATGTCTCCATCACAACTGGAACATCACTGTAAGTTTGTCAATCCGATTTCCATACTCAATGGTGTGTGCCAAGTTCGTATGCAACTCCTAATTGAGAAGGTTGTTGGGTTTCAGTACATTCCGAGAAAAGTTTGCGAATCTTGTATTAGAATAAAGAAGCCAAAAACCTGTGTTTTTGGCTTCTTTATTCAAATTTGTTACGGGGAAACTATGCGTCCAATCTTGTATTAACCAAATCTGATGGGAAAGAATAACGCCACCAAACTACGGTTGTGAAACGGAGTGAGACGATTGGCGGCTATCCCATCAGACCACAGGGTAAAAACGTGGAAAGCCGACAAAGTTCGGAGTGTACAATCGATACTATCCCTAGGTTGAATATGGTCTGTGAAGAGCTATCCACAAGCGGACTCTCAGTCGAGGGTGGAGTCAAATATGGTCATGTGACATGTCGGGCCGTAGAGACACGAATAGTGGGTATGAAAGTGTGCATCGTTTGAGGTTGGCTCACGCGATCTGACGAATCACCTACCGACAGACTAGCTAAATCCAACAAACTCAGTTCAAATGGAAATATCAGTTGTGCATGTTTTATGATTTTTGGTAGAAGCTTTTATATCTTGTCCAAACACCCGCACGGATGGAGTCATACAACTGTTCAAATGTCTCCGGGTGCATTTGGAAAGTAGACAAACGGTCTGTCAGGCTTTAAGGTAATGAGGTTCCACTATTTTCTCACGAATCCTTGCGGTGGTAGAACCGTTGAATACGTTCGTTAGCTAATTACCGTTTTAAAACGAAATCTCTTAAAGCTATCGTCATGAGGATGCCCCACTGAGGATAAAGCTGAGCCTGCTGCTTGCAAATGTTAAACCTCAGACAGACAAATGGCGTTACACTAGTCGCAAATAGGATTGGAAAAAGATCAAAAGAGGAAAATAATCTCATGGGCGCACAAGTGCGAATAGCTGAACACTTGAAGAATAATTACTGGTCACATTCCCGACAAAGAGAGACCAATTCTACCCAGATGGAAAGTGCTCACGCCACACAGTCTTGGTGGGTTGTTTGAGTTACATCAGACAGGCGGACAGGGTGGAGACAGATCAAAGCACTTGATGAAAAATCAGGCCTCCCCCTCATCCCATCCCAACCCACATACACATATTACACCTCACTGTGGACCTATGGTGCCCATTAGCTTAGCTCTGATTACTTTAGAATTGAAATAAGAGTGTTTCATGCGGGGGTGAGAATATAGTATGACAGTTATCATTTATTGATGAACGAACTGCATACCGGTGAAACAAAACCATAATCCCCGTTGTATTACAAGGAGAGGAATATAACGCAAATCGAGGTGTCAAAATGGATAGTGAAAACCAGGATAAATTCACAAAATTATCGGATTCAAAAGGTATGGAACAGCGTTTTTCGGCTGAGAAGTACATATCTGACCCGAATAAGCTACCGCTGAATTTTTAACAGCAGAAACACGCGGAGAAAGGTGATGGTAGTCGAATCTTGTGGGATTGGCACGCTCCACATTTAACAATTTAAGCAGCTGTCATTGAAATGCACAGGACTCCCATGGGCCACACACAATTTGCAATGAACTTCTTCCACTACGGTATATTAGTGTGCTATCCGAATCTATTACATTCCGGTTATTTTCTGTGAGTTGAACAAACGAATTTTTTAAATCTCTCGTCGAGGTATCACGAATATCAATCATGCTTGTTAATTTGTAAAATTTTATTAAAATGATTATAAAACTTCTTGTATCAACTGTGCCGGAAGGATCTCTTCAGGTCCTAACCGTCTAATGCACAATGAACGAATATGCTCTGAATCGCCTTCAAAAGCCTCAGTGTGGTCGGGGTGGGTGTCTGGGATTGTGATTGGTCACCATTTCCTTACACCTCGCAAAATACTCCCATACGACCATGCGTCTCAAATGGCCTCTGCTGAGGAAGCCCTACACACTACCTCCTCGTGGCGGAGGTGTTTCCTACCAAAGTGAGAGGAGGAAACGCCGACATCCGGGGCTACAACCGGGTTGGTGGACCATTGGCAGTTAACCTAGGTGCGTTGGCTAAAAATCTTGATTCCAAAGCAACCTCAAATACGTACCCACACCTTCCTGGTTGTGGCAGTGATCAGCGGCTCATTTGGGCATCGAGGTGTATTGGGCATCTTAGACGTTTGACCCGGTTCAAAAAGCGTATGATCCAGTGAACTGGACACCGGCCCCCAATGGACTTCGGATTCTGAACTCTGTCCTTTTGTCTTGCAGGTCTGGCTTTCTAGCCAAAGACTTCGAGTGGGGACCCCGAGGCTATCCTCCTTCCTCGGCCAGGGCAACCGGGAAGTAACATGCCCACACAACCCATGAACACATTCTTCAAATTTCTTTCTGTTCATATGTCGTGGAACATTTGCCAGTTCTCCGTAATTTGTTACGTGTTGAATAATAATAAAAAATGAATCGCATCTTGTATAGATGTTTCCAGAAATTCACTTATGTCCTATCTTGCACGTGTACTCGCTAACAGAGTGAGACAGAGGGTAACGAGAGGACTGCACCTTAACCTTGAAGCTGAATTTATTTTTATCACCCCTGTGAACTTTATTTTTTCTTTCGTGTAATGCACTCAATATGAGTGACCTTTATGACTGAAATGAAAACTGTTGTGTTTGCAAACGTTTGACAAAACCCTGTGTGATGAATAGCAGATGAAGTAAACCAGCTGGGTTACGAGAATCTGCTGGTCACTCATGGAAACCGGAAACCTGAGTCCCGAGACTTTCTGAATCATTTAAAGCCGCATTACGCTGGGCGTCCTGTTGAACTGGATAACATCGAAGCTATCTACGACCTCATGCAGGAGAGAATCGCGTTAAGGCCAACATGTGGGCGAGAATCGGCCAACTTAGAATGTCGCACTGAGAGCAAAAAAAACGGTAGTTTGGATGCATATTCCGTCTCACAAAATATGCGAGTTTCCTATTCACAACAGTGTCATGCATCTTACAAATCGTCATACTTAATTGAGGATAGTTCACTCAGTTTTCGTTTACAGTTTGTACCATCATTAACGATGCACTCTTGTAAACCGCTTTTGGGTGCTGTCTTTTCGCTGCCCATTTAAAGGAAGCAGAAGGAGAAAGACAGCAAGATTGAAAGTAGGGTCGAATAGAAAATGGAGAATTTCATTGGGCTAATGTTGCAAAGAAATTGAGACGATGCAGAAACGCCACTGTCTAAGACACACAGATATCACTCGATGTCTCCAACCATCAGTTACGATCATCCCGAGGTCCCCATTCAGGAAGCCTAACCGGATCAATGTGACCCAGTCTCCTGGTTAGGGATTTCATACCCACGCGCCAGGTCTTAGCTTGACCACCCTCGGCTTTCTTTCACCCACTACCTGCCTCGGCGAATATCGCTCGCCGTGGCAACCTATTTGGTGACATGCGTAAGACACGCCAGCCCAGCGTAATATATGGATGTTGATCAATTGCTCCAGTGGGCGACCGCGGTTACCCAAAACTCTGCGCCTAATCTCAACATTGCTCGTCCGGCTGAACCACCAAATTCGTGCGATGCTGCGTAGACCGTGGTGTACGAACACCGACAGTCTATCTATATCCTGTTTCCTTAATGGCCAAGTTTCTGTGCCGTAGATCAGAACTGACCGAACTGCCGCGGCATATACTCGACCC